ACACGCTTAAATTTTTTTCCCTTTCACAAAAAGCTGTTGTAATTAAATCATTGGGGTAATTTTCAACCAAATATGACTTTGAATTTGCAAAAAATACCCCTCAGTACTAATATCAACAATTCTATCTGAAAGAAGATTGCAGAACTAATTGTAGATTGGCACCATTTGTTCTGCGTCTGCGGGGACTGTTGATTCCTACTCTTCAAGAAATGCATATAGTATTCCTGAACCTTGATCATTTTCCTTTGGGTAAGACTCTTAAACCTACAGAAGCAGTAGTAACCTCAGTTTCCATTTTTATTCTTTAGTTACAAAATTGTAATTTTTGTTTTTTATAAGTGTTTGAGCCAAACTGACAACATGTAGTGGGGAGGAAAGTCTTAAATGCTCCCTTTTAATAGTTAGGGCATCCCTGTATATGTAATGATCCTGTGTATCATACTGGTTTATGAATATCATTAGCTAGTATTCTGCTCATGCAATATAACTGCCTAGATTCAGTCCACACAAGGCCAAAGATAGGTAAATAAAATTTGAAAGCCCTTTTCTACAAAATTATACAGAATAATGTTACGAAAAAGGTGTTGTCTGAAGGTTTGCTCTGAATGATATGTTCGGAAGCCTGTCATTGATGTAGGTTGTCACGGGTTGTAGCACACTAAACTTATAAAAACAGGTTTAGTAGCAGATCTTCACTCAGTTCTTTTGTTTAATTTAAAATCTTTAAGTGAATTTTTCGTGAGCTAGTGTCTGTATATATAGTCGTGGTGGCTACAGAGTTTGAGGCAGGAATCTCATCAATTGGGGTTTTATTTAACTGTTAATTAGTGAAACTGGTTGGAAAAACCTGCTCTTTTGGCTCTTAAACTTCATTAATTTTTTCAGTTGTGTCACATTGTTTCCCATGGTTCTCTCTGTATGTATTCTAGGGATTACATTTTACTTATATTTTATTCATTGGAATCTTGTTTATCTTCACTTTCTTAAAGTCATCTTTGGAATCTTTTTTGGATTTGTACACATTTTTCTCTGTACCTTGATAAATACAAAGCATGTTTCTCAAAAGTAAGCACATAGTGTTCTTTCTAGATTTGGTCCCGATTAGCTCAAATAGAGTGGCATATTCCTTTTATTTCCGGATCAGTGGTTTTTACTTTTATGAATGGGTACATTCACATAATTTTAGCATACAGTTGCAGGGATTCTCAGACATTCTAAAGTCCAAATATAGTAGCCTGTAAAATCAGTCTCTTTTCTGAGAAAATCAAAGGCAAGCAGGAATAAAATTAAAATGCATATGTAAACTAAATTTGATAAATCAGTATTGTACAGGGAGGAAAATCACCTTACTAGACTGCTCTTGCCAATAAATTATTTCATGTTGTGGCTTTTATTTTTGTCGGCAACAATATCTGACAACTAGTTGGTTTCCTGAATTTACCTACTTGATAATTAATATACCTAAAATAATTTTTAATTTCTCAAAAAAATTTTGTTTTTTTAATATACCTTTATTGATTTCATAGAGGGGAAAGGAGAGGGATAGGAAGATAGAAACATCAATGATGAGAGAGTCATTGATTGGCTGCCTCCTGCACGCCCCCGACTGGGGATTGATCCTGCAACCTGGGCATGTGCCCGACTGGGAATCAAACCCCGATCACCTAGATCCTGGGTCAATGCTCAACCACTGAGCCACGCCCGGCCAGGCCCAAATTTTTTAATACAATAAACATCTTTGGTACATTAAATAAATGTACTGAGGATAATACAGGTTTTTGTTTTTTTGTTTTAATTTTTTTTATTGATTTCAGAGAGAGGAAGGGGGGGAGAGAGAGAGATAGAGATAGATAGATCAGTGATGAGAGAAACATCAGTGATGAGAGAATCATCAGTGATGAGAGAGTGAGTCATCACTGATTGGCTGCCTCCTGCACGCCCCCGACTAGGGACTGAGTCTGCAACCCAGGCATGTGCCCTGACTGGGGAACCACAGTCTCCTGGATCCTAGGTCAGTGCTCAACCGCTGACCCATGCCCGGCCAGGTACTGATTGATTTTTTTTAAATATATATTTTTTCAAGAAGTAGAGCGTTTGACTCCCGTTTGTGTTCATTAGGTCATTTCACAGATTCAAAATTGCATCTTGTGCCTCATTTTTATTATGGCCGTTTACCTGGATTGGGTGAACTAGTATCCTTCAAAAGGAAATTCCAGTCTCATGAAGTGTAGGGATCCTGGAATGACGGCTAGATCATTGGCTTGGAGACTGGTACCAGTGAGAGTGAGTGGGTTGAGAGGTAGGTTAGATCTCCAAATCTAACAGGACTGGGGCATGCATTGTTTCATGCCCAAGATACAGATAACTAAATAAGTGTCATTTACCTCTGGGGGGAAGAAAATGTTTTTATTGATTTCAAAGAGAGGGAGGGAGAGAAACATTGATCAGCTGCCTCCTGCACTCCCCCTACTGGGAAGGAGCCCAAAACCTGGTTATGTGCCCTGACTGGAAATCAATCCTGCAACCTCCTGGTGCATGGGAGGATGCTCAACCAGTAGAGCCACACCAGCCAGGCTACAAATTGTTTTTAAAGTGTCATACAAAGGAGAGTAGTTTCTTTTTTAAAAATAATAACTGTATTTTGTTACGTATTTATTGAAGACAATCATTTACAGTTTATAAAAAAAAAATTGGCCTGATAGACACAAAAATTTCCTGATAATGGTAATTAAAAACAGCTACTCCCACCCCTATTTGTGTCCACACCAATATTAAATCTAGACTGGTTTAATCTTGAAGTGTAATCCAATAAGACTGAAGACCAAACACTTCAGGTCCTGGACAAGATAATAAAATACTGATAAGCCTTCTGGGTCTTTGGATTGATTGACATCAATAAGGGAACCAATTTTTGATGTGAAAGAAATGTGTTCATCTCCAATGAGGATTTCAAGCTCCTGCCGGCCCACTGGGTCAGGAGGAGGCCACAAAGCATCATCCTTTTTGGTAATTTCACTGTCATCAATTATTCTCTTCAGGTCCTTCATCACACTTTTATGTACATAAGCCTCTTTTCTGATCATGACATCATTTTAGTAGTTGCTGTTGTTGGCATATCTCAATTTCCCATCTAGTCGTAACTCAAATTCCAGGAATTTGTGGACGGAGTTGCCCTTGTGACCCACATAGTAACGCAGATAAAAGTCATTCTCCATGGCTTGCAAAAGACCTCGGAGACTGAACTTTAATAGCAACACATACCAGGCTGTATGCACCCAACAGTTGGAGAGTAGTTTCTGAGCACCGATATTTTAGTTTCTGAATCATTATACTTAGTAAAATTTTGGTCCAAAAGAGGAAAAGCTCTGTAAGACAGTAGTGATAATTTGTTCATATTAATTCCCATAAATGGATTGAAACCAACAAATAACAGCTCAGTTAATAATTGTCTACTGAGAAGAAATCATTGTAGAAGTGTCAAGGCCTTCTTGCTTTTGAATTATAAAATTTCTTCTTCCCTGGGGCTCAAACCTAAAATTGTTCCTTATTGGAGCTTAAAACGACTTAATATGAAGGTTTCACTAACTTAACGTGTCATTGATTTCTTTGGCACATGGTAAATCACTTGTTACTGTTTTTTAGTGGGAAAGTTTTGGGTTGGTCAGTGCTTAAAAACTGCTTACATGAAGATTATCAGTAAGTCAGTCCTGTCACAACCACTCCTAGGAAAAACTAAAATATGATCTTGTTAAAATAGGAAGGAAACATTTTTGATTGGGTTGAGCGGAAGAGAGAATTACCTATGATTCTCTGCCTGTAAAATCAGTGTTTTCACTACCAGGAGGATTGGGAACTATGTTACAAATTCAGAGAAGACTAGCCATTAATAAAATATATAAGGGAGATTCAATATCACATATATAATCTATAAAATTCAAAAGCCATTGAATGCATCGTATGTGTTCCTTTAAAACTTTTTGAAGTTAGGTAGAACAGCAGTTGGTGGATTGTTTTTTATAGAAGGCTTGGGCCTTGGAGTTAAGTTAGTTGCTAGAAAGGTAAAGAACTGGAGTTAGATTTCCCCTCATACTGGTGTGTCTTACCTTCTTGTGCTGCCACAGGCTTTTGCAAAAATAACATGGAATGTAGAGACTTTCTAGAACTGGTATACGTGTAAGAAGTTTTTGGTTGTATTTTGAATTTTCTCTTTACCAGATATACCAAGCCGTCACTTTGATGTATCTTTACAATCACTGGGATACTTATCAATGGAAGCAGCAGTTTAGTAACCATTGATTTTTGAGAACTAAATGTGTGCTGGATAATGGTTTTAGACACTAGTGAATAATGAACAATATGGACAATATTCTTCGCTCCTTTGGAGCTCTTGAGTGAAGCTTATGCTTAAATGTTGTAGAATTGGTAATGGTATTTTATACTGAGCTAACACACATGAAATGGCTATGGGGTTTTTTTGTAGACCAAAAATGGTTAATACTGGGAAGTTTATATGGTTCAACCTAGTAATCACTAACTAGCAGTGATAATTTTATATGCACATGTGAGTACAAAGATCAGGAATTTAATGAACAATAAATACCTCTGTTTGCAGACTCAGTTAATTGAAGCCCTTTTTTGTGAATACTTTCTTTGGTGTATATGAATTATTTATTGTAGCATGCATATGAAAAGAATATGGTCAGGATAAAGACGATTCACTGTAAAAAAAAAAAAGTTTTATTAATACTACCATACCCGCAGTACAAAGGAACCTTCTATGTCTAGTACTTAAGGCCAATCAACCACATAACTTGATGTATTTGTATATTTGTAGTATTTTCTTGAAGAAAAGTAGTTGAAGTATTAAAAATATCAAAGAAGGAAAATTTTACTAGCCTGAAGTTAGCAAAAAAGAAATGATTTAGAGACAGTGGACATTAATTTATTATTTTATAAGGTCAGTGTTGCTTGGATCTTGCTGACTTAATTTAGTTGTGAAGGAATTCTCTTTTCCTCTTATTCAATAGGATGTACAGTTATCCAGCACGTGTTCCTCCTCCTCCTCCTATTGCTCGGGCTGTAGTGCCCTCGAAACGCCAACGTGTATCCGGAAATACATCACGAAGGGGCAAAAGTGGCTTCAATTCTAAGAGTGGACAGCGAGGATCTTCTTCCAAGTCTGGAAAGTGTATGTATTGCAGCTTTGTGATATTTCTTGTGTGTTGAAATAGGGAAATTAATGTTGTTAATAATGTTCAGTTATTTTATAAATGCCTTTGCGTTATCAAAATAAAAGAGAAGATAGTGATTAAGGGACCAACTGTAGACTGTCTTCTATCCTTAAGACTCTGGTTAATTGAAGACTTTAGGGAATTGAATCACTTGTTAAATTTATGAAATACATAAGTCAGTAAAACTGTACAGAGAAAATGCTTTAAAAAAGAATTGAGTTCTTTAGCAGGCCTACAAAAGTCAAAATGCTACTGGTAAATAGAGTAAGCACATTAGATTCAGTTTTCCTTTACCAACTAAAAGATTGAAGGTCCCCGTTACGAGACGAGTTGATACTGATGCCATTTCTCCCCAGGGATCTGTTGGCAACTGGTGTATAGTATACCCCAGGGATCTGTTGGCAACTGGTGTATAGTATAGTTGGAATGTTTTTGATAACTTGTAGCTTCTAGTATATTTGATTCTCATCTAAGGTTTTGTTTATATTAAAAGTGAAAGGAGATGACCTTCAGGCCATTAAAAAGGAATTGACCCAGATAAAACAAAAAGTGGATTCTCTACTGGAAAGCCTGGAAAAAATTGAAAAGGAACAGAGCAAACAAGCAGGTAAATGATATTGCTGCTCTTTGGGTGGTTGAAATGTATATGTTGGAATAGTGGGATATATAGCAGTTGAATATGAAAGTAGGTGTGTTTGCGTTGGGAAGGACATTTGTGGGAGGATATAGACTTATGCTGCAGTTAATTATTAGTGGGAATTTTCTACATCCTGTGGACATTAGTTGACCCTAGACAGACTTGTCTTTCTCATCCCCAGTAGAGATGAAGAATGATAAGTCCGAAGAGGAGCAGACCACCAGCTCCCTGAAGAAAGATGAGACTAATGTGAAGATGGAGTCTGAGGGGGGTGCAGATGACTCTGCTGAGGAGGGGGACCTACTGGATGATGATGATAATGAAGATCGGGGGGATGACCAGGTGAAAACCACGGGAAAGGAAAGAAAGAGGTGGTGGAGGGGGGATCAGGGACACATGGAGTGCCTCTAACTCCATCCTGTTTGTGTCTGTTTCTCGCAGCTGGAGTTGATCAAGGATGATGAAAAAGAGGCTGAGGAAGGAGAGGATGACAGAGACAGCGCCAATGGCGAGGATGACTCTTAAACACATAGTGGGGTTTAGAAATCTTGTCCCATTATTTCTTTACCTAGGCGCTTGTCTAAGATCAAAATTTTCACCAGATCCTCTCCCTAGTATCTTCAGCACATGCTCACTGTTCTCCCCATCTTGTCCCTCCCATGTTCATTAATTCATATTGCCCTGCGCCTAGTCCCATTTTCACTTCCTTTGACGCTCCTAGTAGTTAAGTCTTACCCTGTAATTTTTGCTTTTAATTTTGATACCTCTTTATGACTTAACAATAAAAAGGATGTATGGTTTTTATCAACTGTCTCCAAAATAATCTCTTGTTATGCAGGGAGTACAGTTCTTTTCATTCATATAAGTTCAGTAGTTGCTTCCCTAACTGCAAAGGCAATCTCATTAGTTGAGTAGCACTTGAGAGCAGTTTTGAGTTAGAGGTATGTGTGTTATACCCTACATAAGAATGCCATGTGGGGCTGTTCAACACAAATGTGACAATGTATTTTTGTGAATGAGAGTTGGCATGTCAAATGCATCTTCTAGGAAAATAATTAGTGTAATCTTAAGATTTGTTTTCTAAAGTCGATACTGTGGGTTATTTTTGTGAACAGCCTGATGTTTGGGACCCTTTTTTCTCAAAATAAACACATCCTTATTAAACCAGGAATTTGGAGGAAAAAAACCCTGGTTTTTTTATTTTTGTATTTTATATTTGTTTATTTCAAAGTCTTTGTTTTACAGCGGCTTCCACAAAACCCCTAGGTTATACTTAAATATATTTTTCTTTGAGTCGTAATCATTATGCATAACACACACTACTCAAATTATATTTCATTGGGGTGGGTGTTGCATTAAGGAGGCAAGTAACTTTGTGGAATGAAGAGTCTTGCAAAATTGCTTTTATATCCTAATGAAAAAAAAATTGAGAAATACACTAAGCTTTTTCATCAATGCTTGTGCAGATCGTGCCCTTTTTGAGATTTTTGTTGTTTGCTAAATTGTTTCATCCTTAAATAGAAGAGGCTCAAACATGTCAGGATTTTAGGGAAATTGAAATAACGAGAATGAAACTTATTTTTTTCCGTTTTGCCCTTTTAATTGCTATTTATAGCCCCAGTTATCTTCTGGATTATGAGTCTTTGCCTCACTGTTACTGAAAATAAAAAACTCTTTCCCAGGTAACTGAGAACATACAGTTATACGTTTGTCTTTCAAATAGTTCAGTTTAATCGAACTAATTTTTTAGGCCCCCCCCCGCCATTACTTGCAGTGATTTTTAGGCTTATGTTACTCATTAACACCCAGACTTCTCAGGGGGATTTATTACACAGCTTCCAGATTTGTGATGCTTGCTGGTCCTGAAAGATTGAATATATGAATGTTTTTATATTTCAGTTTTCCTAGCAGAGCAGGACAAAAACATGGTTAGTTTGGATTATTACCCATGTAAACATTGGACTCCCTGACAAGCTGTTTTATAGCTTGCAGGAAAAGTCATGGGCAGAAGTCATGTCCTATTTATAAGGATCTCATAAGTCATTTTATATAACAGGTGACAAAGCAGAATAGAAAGAGGCTAAACTATGGAGTGAGTGGCCTTGGATCCGATATCCACAGTATAAAAGTAGATTTTGTGTTACGTGGTCAAAAATACTTCTACCTACCTTGTTTTCTAGTCATGTGTGATTTCATATGCTTTACAAACTCACTTTTGGCACATAATTATGACTAATGTGACTAAACTGGATGCTTAGAATGGGTCAAAGTTCTAAAATGCTAATACCTGTTTAAGATTATAATGTTAGCCATGGGTATTTAAAAGATACCAGACTAATTCGTCTAGGCTTGAAAGTGTCTATTTTTTAAAAAATATTTTTTTTATTGATTTTTAGACAGGAAGGGAGAGGGAAACATCGATGTGAGTGTAACGTTGGTGGGGTGCCTCCTGCACACCCCCTACGAGGGATCAAACCTACAATCCCCCATTGAATGGGATGTTGCCCAGCTAACTGAGCCACACTGGCTAGGGCTAAAGCATCTATTTTTTTTTTTTTTTTTTTTAATTTTTGTAGCATCTATTTCTAATTCCTTCTGAAACCAAATATTGAAAGAAACAGGAAATGTTCTTTTTTAATAGCTAGAGAAATGATCATTTACTTTTAGAAATCTACACACACACAGTTATTGATACAATACCAAAATGTGTCTAGGTTGTTTTGATGGGGAAGAATCATTTTACACTCTAAATCTCAGGCTACTGTGAATTAAATGTCTTCATAGTCAAAAAGAAGATTCCCAGTAGATTTCAGTTCAGATGTTACCCCAACATCTGAAGCCTGCAGAAATAGTAAGATTAGTGCCAGTCAGTGTGGGTTCTGAAACCTCCTACAGAGGAAACTAGGTGTAACAGAAAAAAATAGTGCAAGCGGGAGCAACAAGGTTATGGTAAATTGGAAAGGAGTAAACTGGAATCAAATGAGGATTGAGAATGTAATAGAAGAAAATTAGCCATCATTTGAGCCATATACAGTAACCATAAAATGTCAGAGGAATCTGTTAGACAATTTAGCAGCAAAGCCCAGGGGTATGACAGGGAAAGTAAAACCACAGATGACAAACTAGACTTTCTAAGAACTCTGGTGTTCAGGTAATGTTATGGAAATACTTGGGGAATAGGAAATAGCTGTATATTTAATGAGCTTGGTTGAAAGATGTACTTTGTTCTGAGAATGTATGGTCAGCCCGTGATACACTGATTTGCAGGAGAGAGCCAGGAAGCATCATTATTGACTGTGGCCTGGGGAAATGAAGGACTTAACCACATAAACATTCCTACTGACACTTGACCATTCTATTTAAAATATGATAAAAATTAAACTACACCAGCAATTTTCAACCTTTTTCATCTTGGCACACATAAACTAATTACTAAAATTCTGCGACACACCAAAAAGTGTATTTTTGCTGATCTGGCAAAAATATAGGTATACTTTTTAAAAAATATGTGTTTTTATTTCATAAAGAGAAGGAGAGGTAGAGAGAGAGAAAAGAAACATCATGATGAGAGAATCATTGATCGGCTGCCTTCTGCATGCCCCCTACTGGGAATTGAGCCTGTAACTGGGCCCTGTGCCCTGACCAGGAATCAAACTGGGATCTGGTTCATGGGTTGACTCACTGAGCCACAGTGGCTGGGCAATAGGTAGATTTTTTATTCATTCACACAACAGCTATTGTGTTGGCTGTTGTCTTTTTTTTTAATCTTCACCTGAGGATATTTTTTTCCATTGCTTTTCAGAGAGAAGGAGAGAGAGAGAAACATTGATATGGTAGAGAAGACCACGTCAGTTGGTTGCCTCCCAAACACGTACCCCGACCAGGGCCACGGATTGGGCCTGCAACTGAGGTATGTGCCCTTGGCCAGAATCGAACCCAAGACCCTTCAATCAATCTGCAGTCCAATGCTCTAACTGCTGAGCCCAACTGGCCAGGGCTGTTGTCATTTTTTAATTTGACAATCTAAGGGAAAATAGGTCAGGGTCCCTGATTAAGTAGTCAGGTATTGCATGTTTTAAAAATTCTTTTGGCACACTGGTTGAAAAATCACTGAACTACACCAATGTCAAATGGGGTTTGAATTTCTGGACCCTAGTTCAGATCACATTGACCAAGAAAATGCATTTCAGTTGAATTTTAGAGGTATTAAAGGAAAAGCACCCTGATGAGGAAACCAATTAACAGTACAACACAGCTGTGTCAAATGCTGTTACAATGTAATATGCAGAGTGGGCTACTAAATAACTTGAAAAGTACCTCACAGAACAGGTATCATTTACACTATCACGTTTATTTGACTATTAAGGGGCACTGTTTCGGAGGAGTTTTAGTGTTTAGAAAGAGTTTGGCTTAAATTAAAAATTTGGTCATTTAAACTATAGAAAAAAGTCTGGGTATGTATTTATACCTGACTGCAATGAGAGAATTCCAAATGTTTAGAGAGGAGACTAAATTCGGGGTGTTTCAAAACCCCAAGTTTGGATTTTTGTTAAATCCTAATGAAATGAAGTAAACCAAGGAGAAGGCCTGAAAACAGTATGTCGTTATATTAGTAACTTTAATAAAACAGATTTTTAGCTACAATTATTACAAGTAGGACCCATTAAGAGAGTGTTGAGGTTAGTCCTGTTGTGCCCAGCCAATGTGGCTTAGTGGTTGAGCATTGACCACATGGATCAGGAAGTTACGGTTTGATTCCTAGTCAGACCACATGCCCAGGTTGTGGGCTCAATTCACCACAAGGGGTGTGCAGGAGGCAGCCAACCAATGATTCTCATTGATGTTTCTATCTGTCCCTCTCCCTTCCTCTCTCAGAAATCAAAAACATTAAAAAAAAAATTTAAAGTTAGTGACCTAGGGTGGAACACTTCCCCACTGCTTAAATTTGAAGCACAAAATGTAATAGGAAGAAAGAAGGAATAGTATAATGGGGTGAGTGCCAAAAAAGCAAGGGAGTTAACATGAAGGAGTTGAAGGCCAAGATCATTGAGGATAAGAAGGCATGGTGCTCTCCGTTCCAGTCCTGAGCATGCCAGGTTATTTTTCAAGGTCATGCAGAAATAGAGCCCGAAGGAAGTAAGATGTTCTAAAGGTCTGACAAATTTGCTCATGCAAAAAATAAACTTCCATGCCTTTCACAAACTTAAAAAAGTTGTAATTAGAATGGTTTTTAGTACTTATATTAAGTTAGTTGTCGAGCGCTTCTCAGCCTTGGTTGTACATTAAAATTACGAAGGGAGCTTTAAAATCCTGATGCCCAGCTGTGTGCTCCAGACAGTAAATCTCAGTCACTGGGACTCGGGCATCATTATTTTTCAGTTGCTGTAATTTCAATTTGCTACTGACGGGGAACCAATGCACCAAGAGTCAAAAAGTGCCCCTTCTGTCATAAAGGTAGAAGGGAAGGATTAGGATAAGACAGGACTTCCAGAGAGCTTGTCTCTGGGAGACTGCTAATAAAAAAGTAGAAGAATGCTCACATAATACATAATACATTGAGTGGGTTGAAACAAGTCCCTGCAATAAGAGAGGAAAGCATGGTGGTATGGTGGTGGTTTTTTTTCTTAAATCTGCTTTAACACAGTGAGTGTACCTGCATTGAAATCTGGCCAAACTATAGAAGGCATGTGGGTAGGGGTAAAGGTGAGAAAAAATAGTGTCAAGGGAGAGACAAAAATTCTTAATTTGATTGCCACACCACTCTTAAAACTACTGCACTGTCCAGTAGAATTTTCTGTAGTAATGGAAATGTTTCATAACGCATTGTCCAATACAGTAGCCCTGTGGCTAGTGTGACTGAGGAATTGGATTTAAAGTTGTATTTTTATTTTAAATTTGAATAGCCACGTGTATTATGTGACTATGTTATTAGATAGCATGCTAGAGAAGGCACATTACTAATTCAAAGTTATATGAACAAGTGTGACTGTTCCCAAGATCTTTTATGTGCCAAGTTCATTGAAAATAGCATACTTCTAGGACCTAGACCCTAACATTGAAGATTTCCCTAGTACGAGAACCTCTACAACTGCAGACCTAGTCCATTTCAGTCACACCTTCATTTAGTGATGCCTCTTGCAGGATACAATATATTTTAAGTGGGAACCCATCTTGTCAGGTAGGTGC